CTTCTGGGAGGTCTCAGGCTAAATGGAAGGCAGACAGGATTTAAAAAAAAAAAGGTTGCTTTTGCAACTTCCCACGCACTTCCTCCAGGAGATGTGCTGGTCTTGTTGCGGAGTGCGAGAGAGATCACACTGGCCCCAAGTGTAGGGTGTTAGGAGGAGTCTTCATTTCCCAAGCTTGGTGACAGCAGCTCCCGCTACACTCCAGGAACCAGTGGGCAAACTGCCAAAGTCAGGGGTTTTTAAGCTCTCATCCTCCAATCAGACTGAGAGTCACACAGTACAAACAAGGTTTTAGGAAAGGAGTTACCAGAGCCCAAAGTTCTCCGATAGTTAACTAACCTAACGCAGCACAACAGGACGCAGGAGGGGCCAGGTGCAAGGAACCTCAGGAGTAATTTCTGTGCTATCAGCTGTGAATGGTGTGGTAGGCAGGAGGGGCAGGGTGCACTTTTCTTTCTTTCTCTTTTTTTTAAAGACTTATTTTATTTTTATACGAAAGTCAGATATACAGAGAGAAGGAGAGACAGAGAGGAAGATCTTCCATCTGATGGTTCACTCCCCAAGCAGCCGCAATAGCTGGAGCTGAACCAATCCAAAACCAGGAGCCAGGAGCCTCTTCCAGGTCTCCCATGAGGGTGCGGGGTTCCAAGGTTTTGGGCCGTCCTTTACTGCTTTCCCAGGCCACAAGCGGGGAGATGGATGGGAATCAGGGCTGCCAGGATTAGAACCAGTGTCCATATGGGATCCCAGTGCATTCAAGGTGAGGACTTTAGCCACGAGGCTACCACGCCAGGCCCAAGATTTATTTTTTGTTGGAAAGGCAGATTTACAGAGAGAAAAGACAGAGAGAAAGATCTTCCAAGTTTACTCCCCAAGTGGCTGCAACGGCCAAAGCTGAGCAGATTCAAAGCCAGGAGCCAGGAGCTTCTTCTGGGTCTCCCACGCAGGTGCAGGGTTCCAAGGCTTTGAGCCTTCCTCAACTGCTTTCCCAGGACACAAGCAGGGAGCTGGAAGGCAAGTGGAGTTGCTGGGATTAGAATGCCCATATGGGATCCCAGCACATGCAAGGAAAGGACTTTAGCTACTAGGCTACCATGCCGGAATATAAGATTGGAGTTCGTATTCAGAACCAGAAGTCTACGCAGAATAGAGATCAGCTTTTGGGGCTGAGGTTCACTGGTTCAGTACAGATAACAGGCCACGCAAGTCGCACCCAGGGGACGTGAAGGTGGAGGTTGGGGGACAAAGGAATGTGCCTTTTACTGTGCTAGAGTGTTATAGGCTCCCTTCAACCTTGGTGAATCTACGTCACTGCTGGACGAGGAGGGGGCTACCTTCTCCCAGTGTGGCCTTATCAGCCACCATTCTCAGCCTCTTTCTAGACTGCCCCTCACCCACCTCGGCCGGGCCTTAGACAGGGCAATGACTTTTTAAGAAGGGGTACATCTTGGACTCCAGGCTCAAAGACCCCAGAGTTCATAGGATGCAATGAAAAAATGAGACAGGGAGGGGCAGAAGGGGCACTGTGAGGGGCAGCGGGGGGGTCATCCTGACCCAAGAGCCCTCGGGAAGAACCTCCCTCACCCACCCTGCTTCTTCCTCCCAACAACTGACTCTGTGGTTTGGTTCATGCCGGCAGGTGACAGCTGGGGTCTAGGAGACCCTGGGGATACAGGACTCCATCCAATCCTGTGTGGCTGAGCCCATGGGGCCTGACCGAGGTGCCTCCCTCGATGCCCCGGTGAATTCCTCTCAGCTGTTGCAGACCCTGCAGACAGTCACAATCTGGATGGACAGCTCACTTACCCAACAGCTCCACCCCAGTGACTCCAACCCAGAGGACCCAATCCGGCCCTCTGCTACTCCTTCCCAGAAACCTGCTTCTCTCAGGCTCCCAAGCCACTTGGCTGCCAGGTGCCCCAATAGCTTCCTCTCCTATTCTCTCTGCACTCTGATCTTTCACTCTCTGAGCAAGACCCATGCTGCCTGGGGAGAACACCTGCATGTCTAAAGACCACATTTACACTTTGTAACAGACTCTGGTCCAACAGTCCAGGGTGTCAAGTCCACTGGATGGGAGAGAGCTTTGACCTGTGCCACTCCCCTCCAAGATGTGTGGGAGGGGGAGGGTGTTAAGGAAGCTGTAGTGTGTGTCTTCCATGACGCTTATACCCAGGAGGGGACAGTGAGCATTCTTTTGTCCAGTTGTATCTCTGTGATTGCTCAGCTTTGTCCTTCATCTGGCCTGCTGGGCATTCAAAGTGTCCATCTCCGGTGCCTTTGGTGTGTTTACGGGCCTTTGGGGATAAGACTGTGTTGGTGAGACCTCCTTATGTGCAAAATGGAGGGTGATAGACATAGCCCTTGCCTTACAGGATGGCTGTCAAGGTTGCATGGCACATGGGACTCCCCTGCTGGAGCTGGCTGTGTATGGGATTCCCAGCAAAGACCTCCAGCCCCTCTCTACGTTCCCTTCCCATGGCAGATGTCCCTGCTCCAGGTCTGGGCACTGAATCAGAGGACAACGACAGGAGGGACAGATCTCTGCCTTAGCCTGAGCAGGAGGCTTGGGGGAAAAGATTGTCTAGCTTCGTTCAGGGGAGGATGAGAATGGACAAGTGACATGTACCAGGAGCCAAAAGCCCTTCAGAAAATGACAAGAACTCAGAACCAGAGCAGCACAGCGCCCACGCAGGGCCCCAGCGGAATCCTGCACCTTCATCATCACAGATCCCACAGCACAGCTGCCTTCCTGGAAGAACCACCCCCCCATCCCCTGCCCACACCCCTCTTGGCCCCAAGACTCATCCTCCTTCCTAAACTAGTTCCATCTGGCCCACAGTGGGGATTTGCTTGGGCTTGCCTCTCCTTCCTTGGGCACAGTTCCTACTCAGTTTACTCCTTATTGTACCTGTTCCCATGTGCCGGCCATAAGCAGGCAGAAGACTGCCCAGAAGGACTCCGAGGTGCAGACCAGACCCTACACAGTCCACATCGTGAAGCAGAGTGAAAGACACCCATGCCAGAGACACGGGCAAGAATGCTGTAAGGGCTTCAGGAAACCGACTCAGACCTTCTTGGAAGGCTTCCTGGAGGAGAGGGACAAAGAACATGAATAAGCCTTAAAGAACATTCCAGCAAAGAAAAGCAGAAAGCACAACCTCATTTGCCCACGGTGATCTAGAATAAGCCCTAAACGCGTGCCAGAAGCTGGGTGTCCCAATCCCAACGCAGAAAATCTCGAAGAGCGTGTTTGTGTCACTTCCTACTCTGAATCCACCTGCCTCTTCATGGAGTGACAGCGTTAGATGCGATGAATTTTGAAAGCAGTCCTTGATGACCTTGAGTCTGGAGGCTCTTTTTGTTTGTTTGTTTTAAATCTCCACAGGCAGGAAGCAACACCAACCCCCCCCCCAAGTGCACAGACTGAATATTCAGAGAAATGTATTGTGGGGAGGCGGACACTCCTCTGGAGGCTTCAGACCTGGGTGTAGCTGTGACTGTAGCTGGAGCAGGCCAGCTTGCACTGGATGCCTGTTACGGTCACAGCTGCCTGTCTGGCAGCCAGCACTGTATCTGGCACAGTAAATGTTTATTGAATCAAGTGGCGAATGAATGAGGTGGCAGAGCATGACCAGCTTCTGGCAAAAACTGAAGCCCGTATTGGCCTCAGGTGCTCAGAAGGCTTGGGGCTCCTGCGCCTTAGTGCCCTATGCTTGCTCCTAGTAAGGTGACTGCGAAGGAAAAACGCTCTGTTTTGAGAAGGTAGCCATCCTGGACCCACTGGGCTCTGCTGCAGTGACCAGAAAGTGGGTCACACAGCAGCTGCACAGCAGCTGAGGAAGTCTGGATTCCCAGCCAGCTGACATATATTGAATGCCCACTGTGTACCCCTTGGTGTCAGACAACTCCCTCCAAGGGGAAGAGGCTCGGCTACTGGACACTTCCCCCACCCCGAAACGCACACAGGTCTGAATAACGGGCTCGGGCCAGTCGCTGCCGCCTTCACAGAACTTTCGTTTTCTGCATTTGTAAAATGGAAATAATAGATCCACGAGGTCGGGTTCAGGAAACGACCTGGGCACGCGGGAGAAGAGAGCGCTTCCGAAGTGCTGGTGATTATCGCTCCCCTGGGTACGCCGGCTCGGTTCCCGGGCCCCCAGGGCGCTCACTCGGGCTTGGTCATGCCCCCCACGAGTATGCAGCTGCGCCGAGCAGCCAGAGGAGCCAGCAGCGCCGCACCGCCGAGCCGGCGCCGGGCCCCGCGGGAAAACCGCCCCGGCCTCGGCTTCCCTCCGCTCTGTATGAATGAACTCGGGCTGCCCGGAGTTTATTTTTTTATGAATGGGAGCTCCAGCCGTGAATGAAGCCGCGGGACAGCCCCTGTACGCTGATTGGTCCTTGGGGCTGGGAAACACCGCCCCACGGATCGGCCGGGCGAGTCTCCGGATTGGCGGGCGTGCCCGGCCCAGGGGTTTCATTCACAAAAGTCAATGAAACAAAGGGAACGGGTGGGGGGAGCGCGAACCCCGGACGAGGCGAAGGAAATGCGCCAATCAGCTGCTCCCCCGGGCTCACAACTGTCTGCGGCGCCCGGAAAACAAGCGGGTGCACGGGGGGCTCTGGGCCGGAGCCGCTTCGCTCCGGCCTAGCCAGGTGGTCCCTCGGCGCGGCCTGGGGACATGCTGCGGACCCCCCCGCGGCTCCAGCACCGACGGCCCGGCCTCAGGTGAGGCTGCAGGAGGGGGAGGGTGGGAAAGTGCGTGCCATCTCCCCGCCCCTTGCCTCTCCTCCGACACGTCCCACGCTCCGTCCTCGCGCCAGCCGCCTCCGCAGATTCCAGGGCGTGAGTGGGGAGGGAAGCTCTGGGATTCGGGGCCGGAGGGGGCGCAGGAGTTTTGCGCGTGCGAACGGTGCGCCTGGGCGCGCGAGGGCACAACGCACTCACACCCACACTCTCAACATCTTATGTAACCGAGCCCGGGCAGAGTGGGGCTCCCGAAAGCTGAGGCGGCGAGCCCGGCTCGCGGGAGCAGGTGGGACCTGCCTTTGGCGGGAGGGGAGTGGCGGCGACGTCCGGCCGCGCAGGCGGAAACCTCCCCCAGCGCCCAGTGATTCGGAGAAGTTTCGCCGTCTGACCCGGAGCCTCGGGACTTCAACCCACGCCCCCCCCCCCGCCCCACTTCCACCACCCCTCCCGGGACCGAGTGCGAGCGCAGCCCCATCTCTTCCCCGCCCCCCTAGGTCTCTGCCCCCGCGCGGGGCCCCGGCCGCGCGGCCGGAGGGAGCGGCCGGATGGAGCGGAGGATGAAAGGCGGATACTTGGACCAGCAAGTGCCCTACACCTTCTGCAGCGTGAGCGCCGCGCCGGCCTCCACGCCCGCCCTCGCCCCGCAGCCCGCCCCTACTCACCCCTACTCGCCCCGTCTCCCCCTCCCCACGCCCCGCGCGCTCCCAGCCCGCCGTCCTTGTCGCCCCGGAACCCCGACCCCACTCCCCAGGCTAGGCGCCTCAGGGTGACTCCGGGCCATTCTCTACCCCCCTCCACTACCCTCCCCCGCCCCGTCGCGCAGAAATCGCCCGGAAATGGGAGCTTGCGAGAAGCAGCGCTGATGGTCCCGCAGGGAAAGCTCATGGACGCGGGCTCGCTGCCGCCCCCCGACTCTGAAGGTAAAGAGCCCCAGAGACCTACAGAGACTCCTCCCCGCTGCGCGCACGCACGCCCCCAGGGCAGGTCCTGTACACCCTCATTCCCCAACTCGTTTCCCAAAAAGACTCGCCCTCTAGGGCACTAACTCAGGCCATTCCTCTCCGGCCCCTGCTGCCGAATGGGGAGGTCACTGCTGCTGGCAGAGGGTGCTCCCTTCTCAACATTACCCCCACCTCACCTCCGGTTCCATCACCCCTCAGATCTCTTCCAGGACCTAAGTCACTTCCAGGAGACGTGGCTCGCCGAAGGTGAGTGATTCTGGGACCGTTTCCATGACCCGGCAGGGATGACTCCCAACCTCTGGCTTTCCCACCAAGCTCCATTCCCCGGCCTCCTGCCCCACCGCAAGGCATTCTCCAGGGCCCCTTCTTCAGGTCCCCAGCACTGCTGCAGTGTCCTGAGCGCCTAGGGTGGACACTTAAATTAGTATTTATTTTCTCTGCCTTGAACTAGGCTTGTGTAATGAGGCCTGGGGATGAATCAGACCATTGTGTGGGGTATTTGCTTATTTGAATGGAACTTGGCCCCAGGCCCGTTTTCCTGGTTGAAATTTTCATTTGCAAGGTTTGTTTGGCTGGAGCCACCAGGCCAAGCTGTGTTTGGGGGTGTTGGAGGGGGTTTGGACAGTGAGGGATCCAGGGATGAGAAGCAGCTACTTCACTTTGGGAGTAACCTGAACTCCTTCTTACCCCCTGGGCTGGTCTGCTTCCTAACCCCCCAGGACAACTTCCAGTGCTGGCCAAAAGAACAACAAAAAAAAGTTTCAAGCCATTCTTTGTCCCCGTGTGCATGGTCCCCGGGACTCCCTCACCAAATAGCCCTGATTGTAATTCTGGTGGCAGCTGTGCCTCCCTGGCAGTCCCTCTGTCCCTGGCAATGTCCCCCTTCCTGCCCGCTGGCTGGGATGGGGTCCGTGGCTAGCAGATTGGATTCTTGGATTTGTGGCAGTGGAGCCTGAAGGTGTCACTGATGGGACTTCTGGAAGGGAAGGCAGGAGGATGTGGACTGGTGGTTTAGGTGGTCTCTGTCAGGGAAGGGTTAACCCTCCCATCATAGGTCGCCTTTATTTTAACAGTCTTCCCCCATCACTCTCCCCCTTCTTTGGTAATTATTTTGAGCTCAACCATAACTCCTCCAAAACCCTCCGTGGAAGTTTGGGGTGGAAGGAAAGGACCCCGGCTCCATGGATCCTTGGTATGGTCCTGCGTCTGCCTTGGCTGCTGTGGCTGCGCCACCACAGAGATGGTCACAGTGACGGAAGAGCCCAGTGTTGTGTTGCGCTGTGGCAGCCATGGCTGACGGCCCCATGGGTGCTGCAGGGCTCTCGGGTTCTTGGGGGTCTTGTGCTCATGCCCGCTGGACTTTGCGTGGCCTTGCTTTCTTCCTGAGGTTGCGGAGCTGGGCTGGGCAGGAGGTAGCAGAGATGTGGGGGTTCCACGGACTCTCAAAGTCTTCTCAACGCCAGGCGAGCCTTTCTGCCTGGCTCGCTGGGCTCCCTGCTTTTTCTCTATCAGCTAAGGGTCTCCACAGTGGGCAGCTCACAAGGCTGTGAGCAAGAAGGGGAGGGGGTTCAGGGGGTGGCATTTTGGCAGCAAGCTGGTCCGTTTGTGCTTGGTTTGGGTATGGGAGGGGGAGGAGAATGTTCTCATCTCTCAACCTGGAAAGCCCCACCCCTTGACAGTCTAGAGATGGTACGTGCTTCTGACTGCATGTGTCAGTGTATGTGTGTGTGTGTGTGTGTGACATGCTGCTGCCCTGGGAGTCACTGTACATTTAAATCCAGTGGGTGGAGAGGTGGAGGTGGGGATTGGGGTGGGGTGGGGGGCTGGGATCTCCTCGGTTCCTTTTCCTCCCTTCGGTGGGAGCAGCTCGGGTTCCCAGCTGGCAATGGATGGCCAGGCCTGAGCGGGGGATGCTGAGGTCATTGGCTGCTTCCCACCTTCTCTGCGGAGACAGATGCAGCTGCCGGGGCCCAGTCCCCCTGCACCAGCCCAGCACCACCCCAGCCTCCTGCCCTGTCTCTTTCCATCAGGTTAGTGACCCTTGCAGTTCCAGTGGGTGGGTGGGTGGGGGTGTCTTTGGGGAGGGCTGAGATGGGGACTAGTTCCTTTGGAAACTTGCCAGTGATAGGACACTTCAGGAGGAAGGGGGGGCCAGAGCCCAACCCCCCCTCAACTTGGTTTCTTCCTGAAGCCCCGATTTGGAGAGAAGCGGCAGATTCCGTGGCATGGGTGGGGCTCCGAAGGGCTCAGAGATGATGCGCAGGTGGGACAGGGCAGGTGCAGGGAGGTGAGGCTGGGGCTGCAGGATCATTCACGTGTCAGGGCGGCAGGGGTGAGTGTGCACAGGGCTCTGGAGCGACAACTCAGACAGATATCGTTAGGATTGGGGTTTTTTTAGGCAGAGCGTAGAAGCATGTGCCTGTTTTGGGGGACCCTGGCATCTGCTGAGATGCTGGGGAAAGGATCAGGCTGAACTCATGTGTGTCTGGTTCGGGTGAACAATGTGCCAGTTGCGGTCATGGGTTCCTTTCGCGGCTTGTGAAGCACCTTTGGGAAGCGTTGGGGGCTGATGATTTTGTGGTCTGCTTGGTAGTGAGGGCCACTGACTCTGGGCCACTCAAGTCTGCGTAGCAGGTTGAGAGATTTGCAGAAGCCCTGTGGACACGTTACAGTGGTCCTTGGTCACCATTGGTGGGGGTGCAGCAGACATGGAGGTATAAGGATTTTTCTGAAAGGAGAGTGTTCAGTAGTTGACATCAAGGACAAGTCTGTGCTCACAAAGTCGCTGCTCCCCAGCTGTCTGCCAGTGGCTGCAGTGCCCTTGGCCTTGGGTCCATCTCCCCAGTCCCCATTATGCCAAAACCTGCAGGTCTGGAAAGAGAGCCCATGTGTGAAGGTTGTGTGTGGAGGATGCATCTCATACTGGGTTGCTGTGAGAGTACAGTGCAAGGAATGGGGTGGGGGGCGGAGTAGTATGAGTGCTCCCACTGCTGTCTTGGGGTCTCTGCACCAAAGGATGGGATGGGATTAATCCGCTACCCAGCCTTTCCTAGCTTCCATCCATCTTTTTAGCTTCCCCACCCAAGAAGGCTCCTGAAAGAGTATGTCCCCTGCATAGACAGACAACTGGTTCCTTCCAACGCAGTGGCTGCTAGGGTGGGGGTGGGGTTCGATCTCATGGTGACACAATGGAGCAGAGGCAGCTCTGGCTAGGGCCTCCGCCCCCTCCCCTGGGAGAGCATGATGGGGCATGGGTGGTGCCAGTGCTCTTTGGAACCCCCAAAGGTTCTGGAACCCTGCTTAGCAGACCTCTTTTTTTTTTTTCCCCCCTCTTACTACCCCCCACTCCCTGTTAGAAGCAGGGTCTTTAACTTAATCTCTACCCTCTGGATTTTCTGCTGACTTGGCACTTCCCCCCTCCACTCCTCTATTGTTCAGGGGCAGATCCCACTCCACTTTAGTGTCAGGATGGCTCTGGGACAGATACCTGGCACATGAGCTGGGCAGTCCAGACTTAGCCAATCAACAAATTGAGTACTGTACATTTGAGACCAAACGTGGACATCGAAGCCTCTCCTGCTCTTAAGGAACACAGGGCTCTGTGTTCCTCTTCCTATTTCTGGCCTTGGCCTTGACTTCTGGGCCCCAGTGCCTGTCCTGGCTCAGTAGGCCAAGGCCCGTGTTGCGGGGAGGAGCTGAGCAGGGACTGGGCTTTGTTTCAGGATATTAGGAAAAGGTGCACCACCTCTTGTGGGTGTGATGTGAATGGCAGTGGGGCAGGGGGCTCCCCTATGACTCTCATGATGGTGCTGGTGGGAGGGGAGGGATGGGGTTCTGGTAGAACCTGGAAGCTTGAGGTAGGAAGAAAGGAAACCTGGACCCCTTGGGTCTGCTGGCCAATGACGCCAGCAGGAACTGCCCCCAACCCATCATCTCAGTGCAAATCAGCAGCTAACGAGGCCCCAGGAGGAGCTTGGGATGCGTCAGTTACCCCCCAAGTTCTGTACCACCCACTGCCCTTGGGACCCTCCTTGCCCAGGTGGCAGGAGGGATGTGTTGCTTGCCTTGCTCTCCTCACCCCTTTCCAAGAGGTTGGAGGCTCCAGGCAGGCAGAGGTGAGCTTGCACTTGCCTCCCTGGGCAGCTGCTTTCTCACTTTATCCAGCACTTCCCCAGAGTGCCTCTTCTTAAAATGCAGAAAGCTGAGAATCAGCACAGTGGAGTTTTACATGAAGACAGCGTGGGCATGGCTGCCCACATGCCTTGTTTGGACTCCTGAAAAGCTGTGTACCACTTTGTGTATGTTTTCATTTTTTTTTTTGTTTCGGCCAAGTCATGTCCCATGCCATGGGCCTAATGGATCCCTTCAGAAATGGATCATGTTGCTTTATCATCCATTGTAGCTGCAGGTGGCTCCTGATTCTTAACCTCCCTCATCCTCTGTTTCTGGGAAGTCAGCTGGCTAGAAACGCTTAGCATCTCTGCCTGGTCCAGCAGCTCCTCATGGTCTAGGGCAACCCTGCAGGGTGAGGTTTCCAGAGGGGACCGCCCCTGACGTGCCCCACTTGGCCAGCCAGAGGACAAGGAATCACTGTGTGCTTGCTCACATAGTAAACAAATGACGCTGTGAGCATCCACACTGCTGAATGCTGGGGAATCAGGTGCATCTGACAGGTCAGCTGCTTGCCTGCACGCAGCCTCACATTCTGGTAGAGGAGATCTTGCTCTACTTTGTAGAGTAATATCTCAGCAAAAGCAGTTCAGGTAGCCCATAGGTGTTAGGGGAGAAACGAAACAGATGCCATCAATGCCATGGAGCGCTTGGAAGGACCTCTGCTGGTGTGGTCAGAGAAGGCCTCTGCAAATGTGTAGGTTTCATACTTTAAATGAGAGAGAAGGGAGTGGGTTTGGGGTATAGAAAGGTCACTAACAGCTGTGGGGCAGTGGGAGGGGAGAGTGGGAGTCAAGCTGTGCTAAAACCCCAGTGAGAAGCCACACAGCCTTCACCATGGATGTGTCAGGCCAGAGGCTGTGAGCTGTTCCCAACCTATATTGTCAGAGCTGAGAGCATCCCTCCTTCCCGCCCCCGGCCACTGCTTTATCTCAGAAATACCCTCTTTTTGAAATCTCTGAAAGTTCTTCGTGCTGTGAGCTAGCTTATTTTTTTCTTGGGTGGAGGGTAAGAGCAGACAGTGAGTTGGGTTCGGGGAGGTATTCTGCTGTACGCTCACCCAAGAAGCCTGCCCAGAGGGACACGTGGATAAGACATAGAAATCCGAGTCCAGGGACCCAGCTTGGAGGCCACGACAAAGCTGCTACTGCCCTGGGGGCTCCTCTCCTAGGTGCACCTCAGAGGGGCTCAACAATATCCTTGGCCTCTTCTCATCCCTTCTTTCCTCCATCCCATTGTCTTTACCTGGTGCTGGAAGTTGTGGGACCCCATAGCAAAGTCACGCGGGACGGTGTTAAAAAAGGCACATGCCTTCCCACCCCACGGGTCACAGTTTTTCCAGGTGATTGCAACTCCAGAGGACCCACTTGTTGCTCATCCCAGCTGTGACTGGGCCAGTGCTTTGTCAGCAGCGCAGGGTGGGGCTGTCTTCAGAAAAAAGGGAAAGACAGACAGAGGGCCTGGGAAAAAGACGCTGGCATCTGCTCAGGCAGGTTCTGAGGAGCTTTGGCCTTCCCTCCCTTGGGGTCCTCCGGAGCCCAGAGGCAGAGGTTGTTGGTTCTGGGTGGGACTGCACCCATGACTCCAGCCCACACTCACCTAGGTCTCTCTCTGCAGCTCAGGTACCAGACAGTGATGAGCAGTTTGTTCCTGATTTCCATTCAGAAAACTGTGAGTAAAGGGAAGGGGACCGGGAGGGAGGAGTTTGCTGGGGGCTGGGTATGTGCAGTAGCAGAGAATGAGTCCCAGCGATCAGTGCTCACGGGGGCAGAGGGCAAACCGGGACTCCCCTTGCTTGGGTTTGCGTGCAAAAGCCAAGGCAGTATCTGAGAGATGAAGACCTGTGTGAGCTTGGAGCAGACACTGCCTCTCTCTGACCCTCCCTTTCAGTGGCTCTGAAGTGAGAGCCTTGGGCCAGTTCCAGTGTTCTAAGTGACTGGAGAACTAGGCCACACTGTCACTTCACCACCACCAGAGACGTTTGACCATGTGTGTGTGGACCTTTTTGGTGGTCACAGCGGAGGGTGGTGTGCTCTCAGCATCTGGTAGGTAGATGCAGCTGGACTACTGCGAGGAGCATCCTGCTGTGCTTCAGGCGCGGCTCTGAGTGTCCTAGCGCCATGGGCAAGAAAACCCAGCTCTTGAATGTCAGATCCTTTGCTATCCACTGCAACGTTTCCATGAAAGGACACTGGATACAGAGTAGTGCAGCAAGCAGGTAACAGAACAGTCTGGCTGGTTGCAGGACATCTGACTGGGCGAGACTGACACAGCCTTGCTCCCACCAGCTCCAATCCTCATCTGCTGCTTAGCTAGTGGCTGGGCTCAGAGAACACAGCAGGGGCCCTGGGGAAGGCCAGGGTTTTTCATGCATAATTAGGAGCATGTGTATAGTGTTATTCAGCTGACATTCAAGTGGGCCAGTATCCAACCTTAACCAGGAAAAGGAGCATTCTTTATAGCCTCGAGTAAGAAAACATGTCCCTCCCTTGGAATTTTCCAGAGCCCTTAGGCAAACCAGAGGCTCCAGACTGGGGGTGCTCATTTGGAAGAAGAGTTTCCTGGGGTGCTGGGGGATACCTTAAATGTTGAGCCTTGAGGGGTTTCCTTGGTTGACACAGGACATTAGCCTGGTGGTGAGACCTCCTCATAAGGTAGCTAGCTAGCTAAGGTTCCCTTCAGGTGCCTGACTACTCAGCTAGAGGAGGAAGAAACTCTGAGCTAGAGGAGGAAGCTATGCTGGTTGGTCACCAGGCAGGTCTTGCAGAAGGTGCTAAAAACCCTGCTGCCTGATGTGTGTGACACCTGCTGGTTTGCTCTGCCCTCATCCCTGCCTGCACAGTGGCTTTCCACAGCCCCACCACCAGGATCAAGAAGGAGCCCCAGAGTCCTCGCACAGACCCGGCCCTGTCCTGCAGCCGAAAGCCGCCACTCCCCTACCACCATGGCGAGCAGTGCCTTTACTCCAGGTGAGCCGTGCAGCCTGAAGTGCCTGAGGAAGTGCAGGGGAGGGGAGCTGAGAGGAGGAGGGAGGGCAGAGAGGCTGCGGTGGAGATGCAAGTTAGATTACCAAAAGGACTTCCTGGTTCCTGCAAGGGGAGCAGTACTGCAAAGGAGTCAGCGTAGAAGAGGCAGCAGAGGCCCACTGTCCCACCCAAACCAGTTGTTCTGTGCAGGGAGAGATGCTGTGAAGGTCAGGCCTCCCAGTGTCAGCATGGAGGACAGGGGCACAAAGAAGGCCCCAGGCCTGGCTCTGCCGCCGCTGCCGCTCACTTGCCAGCATCTCTGCCCTCCCTTTCCCGGGAGATGAAGTGCTCAGCTTCCCTGCCCCCTCATTCCCATCTCCTCCTCAACTCTAGTGCCTATGACCCCCCCAGACAAATCGCCATCAAGTCCCCCGCCCCCGGTGCCCCTGGACAGCCGTCCCTGCAGTCCTTTCCCCGGGCAGAACAGCGGAGTTTCCTGAGACCCTCAAGCACCTCGCAGTCCCACCCTGGTCATGGGTACCTTGGGGAGCACAGGTAAGGAGGTGGGGATGGACCTTACTGCTCCTGGGGCTCCTCTGTTTCTTCTTAGTCCCTGAGTTTCACAAACAGGTGGCAGGGGAATTGGGGGAGGAAAGGAATGGAAATGCCCCCACCCCAGTCTACTGGATGGGTCTGGGAATTGACAGAGCAGAGGAGGGCTTCATTCAGGATTCTCTCCATTCCAGCACACCCAGCTCCGTCTTCCAGCAGCCCCTGGACATGTGCCACTCCTTCACATCTTCTCAGGGTGGGGGCCGGGAGGCCCTCCCAGCCCCCTACCAACACCAGCTGTCGGAGCCCTGCCCACCCTACCCCCAGCAGAACTTCAAACAGGAATACCACGACCCCCTGTATGAGCAGGCGGGCCAACCAGCTGTGGGCCAGGGTGGGATTGGTGGGCACAGGTACCCAGGGGCTGGGGTAGTGATCAAACAAGAACAGACGGACTTCGCCTATGACTCAGGTAAGAGACTCCCTGGGGAGGGCAGGGAGGTTTTTGCCAGCTTGTCAGGAGGGGATCTGTGATCAAGTGCACAGGGAGGCCCAGGAGGACTCTCCAGGAGTCCCTTCACTTTCCCATCTGTTTCTCTTGTCTGCATCCAAGTTCTCCCCATCTACTCACCTTCTTTCCTAGACTCCGAAGAACTGTCCTTTTTCAGGCAGCAAATTTATGCTTAGAAGATAAGGGGTGTATAGGCTTTTGATAGGTGGCTTGTGAAGACAAAGGCTTTTGTTTTGTTTTGAACAGGCAGTTAGGGTTTTAATGTCCTGCTAAGAGCCAAGCACTGTCCCTTGAACACCAGTGTGTGCAGTTGGGTCACCAGCCCCCCAGCTCCAAAGGGGTTTGAATAAAGAGAAGCACCAACTGAGCAGACGCTTCAGACTCTAGTCCTGCCTGGCTGTTGAGAGCAGAGATGTGCTCTGCCTTGTTCATACATAGCTGTAGTTCAAAGCCCAGCGCTGCCAGGGAGGGCCTTTCTGAGTTTGGAAAGGCCTAGGAAACAAACCTTGCCTCTGCTAGTGCCTCCCAGCTTCCACTGCATTATCTTGGAACCCCAACTCGGAGTTCATTTGCCAGTGTGCATTAGGAGAGTAACTAAAGATTAGGGCAGCCTCTGAGCTGGCTAGAGCTTTAGAATTACTGTTTTGCTGGTACCCACTGTCTTCTCCAGCCACAGTCCCCACCCTCCTGCCACACTGTCCCCCAAATGCAAACTGAAAGGGTGCTGCGCCCTCCAGCGGGGCGGGGATAAGCCAGAGCCAGGCCTGGCAGAAAAGGGCAGGGAGAGGGAGACGCTCTTGCTACCGACCTTCAAAAGCTGAAGACCGGAGGGGATCCTGTTACATGCCCTTGAACTCCTGCCTTCTCCTCACTCCCCGCCCCTCCAAGTTTCCCTGAATGGAGTCAGGAATTCCATTCACAAAATGGAGGCATGAATGAACCCATCCTCCCACCTCCTCCCGGAGGTGTCGGGTTTCACCGTCTCATTCATAGCGGGGAGGGCAGGAAGGGGTTGGAACTTGAACAGGCGGCTTCACACTCCGGAGGTGGAGTGGGGAGGCTTTAGTCCTAAGGAATGGACTGAAATGAAGTGGAATGCACCCTGCCGTTAGGCTGGAAAGTCACAGCTCGGTGCCCACTGCCTCTTTCCCAGATACAGGCAAGAGCCAAGCGCACCACCCCCGTGTCTGTTTTGCTTTCTGTCTGACATGCTTGCACACACACGCGCAGACACAGGCACAGGGCCAGGAACCTGACCTGACCGGACGTTTGCCCCTTCCGATGGAGCCTTAGGCCTAGACACCAAACCCTCTCCCCGGAGGTTTAGTTCTCACGCCAACCCCCTTCTGAGGAGGCACAGGAAACAGCTGCTGCCTGGAATCCTGGACCTTGGGGAGAAACAGCTTGCTTAGGCCCCAGCTGCTGCCTAACATGCCCTCCAGCCCAGCCCTGGAGCTGAGGGGCTCAAGTGTGTGTGTGTGTCCGTCCCCCAGGGTGACCTTCCCCTGGGATTTGGTGGTGGGCAGGCAACCGGGACAAGAAAAGTCACCGGAAAGCTGACTGGCAGGAAGAATTCCTTGAATGTGTGGAGGACTTCCTCCTCCCTCTACCCGCCTGCTCTGGCACCTGTAACGGACACTTTTCCTCTGCAGATGTCTCTGGGTATGCCTCCGTGTACCTGCACACGGAGGGCTTCTCTGGGCCTTCCCCAGGGGACGGAGCCATGGGTAAGAGTGTCCCTGTCCATCCCACTAAGCCCTCCAAGCTGGAGCCTGCCTGGGAGGGGAGGAAGGAGGAATGTCTCCCTAGCCAGAAGTCCCTGTGGACTGGCTGAGGTGTCAGCAGTGAACCTCAGGGCTGGGACACACCCTTACTTCTCCCTCTCATACTTCCTCCTCAAGGCTATGGCTATGAGAAGCCTCTGCGACTGTTCCCAGATGATGTCTGCGTTGTCCCTGAGAAGTTCGAAGGTCAGAGAAGTGGTTGAAGCTGGAAGGGGCAGAGATCCGTGTCCATTGTTGCTGGAAAGTGGGTGGGACACTTGGCACAGGGTATGGGGCAACCTGCAGGGAGACCCCTGTGCTTGGTGGCCACCCCCCAGTCCTTCATGTCCCATTTTACATTCCCCAGGAGACATGAAGCAGGAAGGGGTGGTCGGAGCATTCCGGGAAGGGCCGCCCTACCAGCGTCGGGGTGCTTTGCAGCTGTGGCAGTTTCTGGTGGCCCTGCTGGATGACCCAACCAATGCCCATTTTATTGCCTGGACGGGCCGGGGGATGGAGTTCAAGTTGATTGAGCCTGAGGAGGTAGGTCCCCAGATGTCCCCACCCCTTCTCACCAACAGCTTTGGGGCTTGGAGCCCAGAGACGCTGGGATGTGGTAGCACCTGGCTTCTTGGTTGGCCTGATCTCCATTCTTGTCAAAACTGGGGTGTGGGCTGGTGCCCAGTGGCAGGCCTGGCTTGCCACTTTGCACTGAGGATGTCACAACTTTTTGACTTGCCCCTCCCCCGATTTTTCCTTTGCTCAAGTAACATCTCAATCCCAAAACTCTTTGTCTTTTGTCTCCAGGTTGCCAGACTCTGGGGCATCCAGAAGAACCGGCCGGCCATGAACTACGACAAGCTGAGCCGCTCACTGCGATACTATTATGAGAAGGGCATCATGCAGAAGGTCTGGACTGAGGGTCCCCACCAAGTGAAGGGGGTGGTGACAGCAATTGTGGTGGTCGTGACAGCATTTTCCAGCAACATGTAGACTAACAAAGGATGTGAACAATCTCAGGTTTTCCTTTTCCCCGAAAAACAGCAACTGAAAAGCCAAAAATCACGGCTTGATAACAAGAAGGGATTAAGAATTGGGAAGGGAGCCAGCAGAGGTGTGCCTCATGCTGCCTGCATCCCGGCCCGGCCCTGGTCCCAGGTTGGGAGCAGGGACAGGCAGGCTGACCCAGCCCCTCTCTCCTCACAGGTGGCCGGTGAGCGATACGTGTACAAGTTCGTGTGCGAACCCGAGGCCCTCTTCTCTCTGGCCTTTCCAGACAATCAGCGTCCAGCTCTCAAGGCTGAGTTTGAGCGGCCAGTCAGCGAGGAGGACACAGTCCCTTTGTCCCACTTGGACGAGAGCCCTGTCTACCTCCCAGAGCTGGCTGGCCCTGCCCAGCCCTTTGGCCCCAAGGGGGGCTATTCTTACTAGCTGCCAGTGGCTTCTGCCCCGGCTGATGGGTGCTGCTCTGTGTACATATGGCTGAAGCCTGGTGTCAGGGAAAAACCCTTGCTCTGAAATCCCCGGATGCCTCTGAGGCAGGTCTCCCCTCCCCCATCAGTCACCCCAGCCCAGACCCAATAGCTGCCCACTGGAGTCTCTGGGAAGGAAGTGGGGAGAATCAGCGAGCCTGCAGGTGCAGTCTCAGAAACTCCACTGGGGTGTCTACTTATGTTCCAAGGAGTTCCTCTTGGCCTCCTTCCAGGGTCTGCCTAGAGCCCCAAGTCTGGCTTCCTCTCCCCCACCAGGGAACGAAAAGTGGGGGGAAAAGAGTGCTTCTCAATTTTAACTTAGCAGGGGGACAAGTTGAGCTCTGCAGGTCTCCCGCTGGGGAGATGAAAGCCTGGACCCTGCGCTGCACCCTGGCAGGGGCCCTGGGGGCCCTAGTTGTCAGTTCTTGGTGCTCTATATGTTCCCAGAGGCAGGGGGATGGTGGAAGGAACCTTGGGTGGAGGAAAGGAGGAGTAAGTTCCTGCCCCAGGGGGCCCTTTTCCTAGGCCCAAGCCTGGGATTTCAACCTCCACTCCTGATCATACCTACCAGCCCTTAATAAAGGCCCCTGCTTCTCCTATGAGTTCACTGTTTCTCTTTGCAGCCCTGGACAGGGCTTTGGTGTTAGGAAGAGCTCCGGCGTTTGAAGCCTGGCCTGGAGAGTTTCCCACATGGATTTGGGCAAAGGAAAACCTGTCTGGTTTTCCTATGGCAGATGGAGGAAATCTCTACCTCGCACACTGGAGTACCCAGATTCAATTTCTTGCTAATACAGACCCTAGGAGGCAGCAGGTGGAGGCTTGTGTAATCTGCCACCCATGTGGGAGACCTGGATTGAGTTCTGGCTCCCAGCTTTGGCCAGGCCTGGCCCCAGCCATTGCATACAATTGTGGAATGAGCTAGTACATGGGTAATTTGTCTCTTGCCTCCCAAGCTTTCTTGAAAAAAAAAAAAGCAAAAAAAAAAAAAAAACCAGTCTTCCCTTTACCAGAATATTACTCTATGAAGGATCCAGAAACAATTGACCAGGGGTACTCTGCAGTCTGGACAGAGGCCCCTTCGCTGCCCTCAGCATGGTTCCTACAGCCAGCGGCAGGCCCCTGGGGATGGGGCGAGGCAAGCCCTGAGTTGTAAGGCCTCCCTTGGTGCAGTCTTAATCTGAGGTCACAGCTGCTCCCAGGAGCATGCTGCCTTACAGGGACCCCAATCAAGGGTCCTTCCCTGATTCCAAATGGTACTTTGGGTGAGCTGAGTGTGTTTGGATAAAGGGCTAAAGGAGACACCCAGGGAGTGGGGAGATAAGGACGGCAGCTAGAGCAGGCCCTGGACAGGGAAGACTCGCTCTTCATGGAAGAGGGGACTAGGACAGCAGGTAGTCCTTGCCCAAATGAGTCCTGTGAGTGAAAAGGCAAAGACGAAAAGGTGCTACTCACACAGGCAATGTGACTGAGGAGACCAGACCTAGCAAGCTGAGGCGGTGGAAGAGGAAAATGGATGGTTCTAGAGCAAGTTAGCTTCCTGGGAGACAGGCTCTCTCAAATCAACCACAGATGGGCTTGGCACAGTGGCTCAACTGGCTAATCCTCAGCCTAAAAGTGCCAGCATCCCATTTGAACACTGGTTTATGTCCTGGCTACTCTACTGCCAATCCAGCTCTGTTGATGGTTTGGGAGAGCAGTGGAGGATGATGGCCCAAGGCCTCAGTCTCTGTGCCCATGAGGGAGACCCAGATAAAGCTGCTGGCTCCAGGTTCCAGATGGGCCTAGCCACCATATGCAGAGTGAGCTAGTAGATGGAAGACCTCTCCTTCTCTGTAAATCTTTAAAAACAACCGAAAAATCTGAACCACAGCTGTGCCAAGGCATTGGACATCTGAACAACTTGTGCCAGCAGCCTCTAACTGTAGCATCTCAAGACTAACTACCACCCTCACAGGGACCCCTCTTGTCCACACCCACAAGTAAAAAGCAACATCCTTTTATTCTGGAAATACAAAATGTTAAACACATTGACTTACAATTTGAAGGAAGAAAGTCAATATTAGCATGTTTTCGAAAAGATGTAAAATTTAATTCCACATTCAAGTCAAGGGATTGTGGCGGGAAGGAGATATAAAAAGAGGTGAAGGGGCAGGCTTTGGGAGTTCCCCTTGTTCCGTCCTGGAGTGTGTGCTCCAAGTACTGGCTGCTCTGCATCCTCCCATTTCCTACTTGCATGTGCTCTGGCAGGCAGCAGCTGACAGCTCGAATACAAGTCCCTGCCAATCACATGGGAGATCTTCGATGGTTTGCTGGGCTTCTGGCCTGACCTAGCCCTGGCTTTGGTGGGTTTTTGGGGAGTGAAGCAGCAGATGCAAAATCTCTGTGTGTCTGCCTTTCAAATAAGATGAAAATAAACAACTAATTACAATATTAAAAATCAGGGGGAAACCCTGAGGACCAAAACATGAACTTGAGAGGGGAGTTTAAAGGAGAAGCAGCACCCAGCGAAAGGCTGAGCCTGTGTCCCTGTGCCCTCTGCTTGTTCATTCATAAGCCGCTCCTCACAGCTCTGTTCAAGTCCTTGGCTGGTAGAGGGCAACACATCAGTGAGACAGCTCCAACAAACAAGGGCAGGAAATTCCAAACTGAAGGACCAACAGCCAAAACCAGAGAGGCCGCCCGTGCCCCCAAGGGCCAGTGTACACACACAAGCCAAGGCAGACTTGTGTGGGGCCTCGATCCTGCTTTGTTAGGGCCAACAACATACTTTGATACCAAAGGAGAGTCCAGGTTCTGCAAGAGACCTGGCTGTCACTCAAATCTCAGAAATATTGGTTCAAGGAGGACAAAGACTGCGTGGTGTGACAGCTGTGGGCCAGCTCTCCATCGGAACCCAGATACACAGCCAGCTTGTCTGTCATAGTAGAAAGACTCAGAACACAGGATATAAAGGATAAATAATAGGATAAGTGAATGAAGGGTCAAATAATTTTATTCATAGTTGTATTAAAATGTGAATTTACCTTTTATATAAGAATTACAGCAGGTAGGTAGTCTGAACTCTATAGAAAATGGAATGGTGAGGTAGATGACTTTATGAGTACTGCCTCCAAGGAACAAGTATTCTTTAATATGATTGTAGGCAAGAAATTCAACTTAAGATGATTTGGAGGAAAGAACTGTTGCGTGGAGAAGAACTAGGCTCAGCAGAACTAGGCTTGCCTTTGAACTGATGTTTAGAATCTCTGACTCTCAGGCAAGTCAGGGGCCAGCTTTAAAATTTTGCTTTTTTGGGATAAGAATAGGTAACTTAATTGTCTCATAGAGTTGTCATCTTGTTTTTACAAACTGAAAAAAATGTTACCTGTACAGCAGCATCGCTATGGACAATAATACTAATGAAAATGAGGGGATCAAAAAGTAATTAACACTGTGATAGGATTTATGAGTGACTTGGAATTTTATAAGGGACTTGCTTGAATGAGGTGCCAATTTGTCTTTGTTGTGTTAGAATATTTTTCAAACCACTGGGTACCTTGATGTCTTGGTGACACCTGCTTGAGATTGGTGGCAATATGTGCCACACTGGGTCCATTATGCCTGATGTTGGGCAAGTCTAGAGGCTTAGTGTGTGAGCACTAGCCACGAGTGATGTAGGTAGAGGACCTGGGCTTCATCAGATGCTGGGTCTGAAGGAGGTGGACCCAAGTCAAGATCCTAATTCTGTGTTACTGTGCAGTAGCTGCAGCCAGTGTGATGACAGTTGTCTTGAGACCTACCATTTCATTACTGACTCATGGTCAATAGCCGAAGATTATTAAGAGCATCAGACTTTTAAAAGAAGATTGTCAGGCCCGGCGACGTGGCCTAGTGGCTAAAGTCCTCGCCTTGAATGTACCGGGATCCCATATGGCCACCGGTCCTAATCCCGGCAGCCCCACTTCCCATCTAGCTACCTGCTTGTGGCCTGGGAAGGCGGTTGAGGATGGCCCAGAGCCTTGGGACTCTGCACCTGTGTGGGAGACCCAGAAAGAAGTTCCTGGCTTCTGGCTTTGGATCGGTGCAGCGCCAGCTGTTGCGGCCACTTGGGGAGTGAATCATTGGATGGAAGATCTTCCTCTCTGTCTCTCCTCCTAACTGTACATCTGCCTTTCCAATAAAAATAAATAAATCTTTTAAAAAATTCATTTAAAGGGCCCGGCGCGGTGGCGCAAGTGGTTAAAGGTCCTCGCCTTGCACGCCCGGGATCCCATATAGGCGCCGGTTCTAATCCCGGCAGCTCCGCTTCCCTTCCAGCTCCCTGCCTGTGGCCTGGGAAAGCAGTCGAGGACGGCCCAAAGCTTTGGGAACCTGCACCCGCGTGGGAGACCCGGAAGAGGCTCCTGGCTTCGGATAGGCATAGTATTGGCCCATTGCGCTCACTTGGGGAGTGAATCATCGGATGGAAGATCTTCCTCTCTGTCTCTCCTCTCTGTATATCTGCCTTTCCAATGAAAAAATAATAAAAATAAATCTTTAAAAAATTCATTTAAAAATTTTCATTTACTTGTATTTTGTTTGAGAGATAAGATAGTCATACACAGAGCAAGAGGGAAACACCTTCCACTCACTGGTTCATTCATTCACCAAACGCCTCAACAGCCAGGTCTGGGCCAAGTCAAACTAGGGGTCCAAAACTCAGTGGAGGTTTCCTGCAGGGATGGCAGGAAGCCAAGTGCTGGATCCTCACCTGCGGCCTCCCAGGGTGTTCATTAACAGGAAGCTGGGATTGTTACAGGAGAGGAAGCTCGGAGGACCTTGTCTTCAAGCAAGGAAGTAATTTTTATTTCTGAAACTAGTCATATCAACACTCAGCAGGTCAGAATGATCTCAAAACTGAGCAAAAAATTTGAACAGAAAGGACCAAAGAAGCACATGAGATGTTCAATGTCAATAAAATGGCATTTCTCACTGAGAAAATGTAAAACAAAGTCAGAAAG